GAGACATCAATTTAATTGCCCGCTCTGTCGGAGTCCGGTGATGGATGTATGATCTGCATATTATCAGAAATTTGTATACCAATTTTTTCTTTTACTTTAGAATTTTTGTTACATATGAATGGTCATCTGTGTATAGTGGATATTGTCTTATTTTACTTGGAAAATTTTGAGTTTGACGAAGAATTTATCATTCTCAAAAATTGTAATTTGTAGATAAACTTAAAACCTGGGTTTAAATTTATAAATAGTAAAAGCAACATTTTATCATTTCATATCTTCTATGATATTATATCTCTAATTTGCAACTGAAATGTTCAAATTGTAATTTTAGCTTTTGATAAGTGTTTTAAAATCATGAATCAAATTGCTCAAATTGTTCCGAAGATAGCAGATACAAACTGTTTTTGAAATTTGAAAATACCTGTCACAACGAGCTTTACGTTTCTTTTCCCCATTCTAAATAAAAAGGATTATCACCATCATAATCATCCTTAAAACCTTTGTGATAGGGATGAAAATCCCAAATGTCATCACCATCTTTATCATCGCCGTCCACATCATTCACCACGCGCCGCCACAGTCGGCATTTTTATCTGCTCTGTGCACAAGGCGTGATCTTTCCCCATTACGAAATCAACAAAATTAAACCCATCTCCCAAAATGGGTTTTTGCTCGAATATCTTTTGTGCTGGATTGATTAAAGACTAAAAAAGTTGCAGTTCTTTAATGCCAATGTCGACGCCCGACTGGCCGACAAGGTGGCTACGGAGAAGCTGGAGAAACGACCTGCCGCTTTTGAGTAACATCCTGCCGGTGGAGTTGGCCATTTGTGCTGAGTTGGAATTGCCTGAAAACTGTTTGTTTCTGGGTTTTCTCCGAAGCAGGTTTGTGTTTAATATAGGAAGAGTTTAGGGTTTTAGCGGCACAGAGAGATGGAAAGTTGAGGACACGTGGCTGCATCAGCAGTCTGCAGATGGTTCTACAGAGTCGGCAAGAATGTGCCATGTGGAGTTCCATGATATTGTTAAAATAATTCATCAAGTGTCCTGACTGTCTTTTTAGAAACAATGATGCTAAGATATTTTTACACCAAAACTTTATACCGGTTCATGTGTCTCTTGACTCAAACCATTCATACATTTAATGTTATTAAATTTTTTAAATATAAAAATTTAAAAAAAATCTGAAATAGACGCCCTTACAACTGTTTATATGTAATAAACACTGGTCCATAAGGAATGGATGACCATCCTTTTTTTTCGGGATAGGCATCCCTACTCTAAGTAAAAAGCTTCAAGCTTCAAGTCCTAACTTCTCATCTTCCATAACCTTCTACAACTCACCCGACGTTATTTCAAAGCTCATAACCAATGGCTTCTTCTATGCCTTCCTCTACTTCTTCTTTCTCTACAACTTTTCACGCTTTCGCACAACCCAAAACCCAGGAAAAGTTATGGATTGCAAAGAGAACCCATGCTGTAAAAAGGCAAATTTAGATGACCCAAATAAAGATTTGATTGAGGGAGTCAATGAAACAGCCATGGAAGGCCATGAAGAAGAAGAAGTGGCATAAAAAAAAACACAATAGATTTATGGAGGGAGTCAATGAAGAAGCCATGAAAGGCTACGAAGAAGAAGAAGTGGCGTCAAAAAAGCACATGGGTTGTGCAAAAGCGTGAAAGACATTTTTTTTTTTATATTTTGGTTATAGCATTTTTGGCTTCTTGGCAGAGAAAAGAAACTCCACCTTTTTCGATGCAATTTTTCGGTGGATATAACATTTTTATTTTAGAAATAGATTAATTTCATTTTCAATGAATGTCATTGTCATAGCTAAATACTTCCGATTACCTAAGTTATTATATGGGATAAAAATTAGCTCATAATCTAATCTGACAAATTTTCTTATAATCCTAACATAATAATTCATAATTAGTCTACTCGTAATTTTCTAGATGAGACCAATAACAAGCGGACATAATTTATTTACAAGTTAATTAATTACGAGCTGTCACGTTAATACTGTGAGAGAAAGTTTGTGAACTTGAATGGTAAATATAATTCTATTTTCACTCAACATATAAAAAAATACTATGGAAAAAAAAAAAAAAAAAAAATTGTATGATATCCCATATCATTTGGCCAGATGTTGCGTCAAATGGTTCATTGCATAATGCATACACATATTTGCCTGTATCGATTAGTTGAAATGGTCATCACATTATCATAAATAAAGAATCAAATAAAAAATTTGGTTGATTATTTAGTCAACTGTAGTGAAGTAACGGTTCGACATTCTATGAACAGCTAAAAACATCCAATATATAAAATTTATTACAGCAATATATCAACAGTTTGCAAGAATCAGCCGAACAGGAAAGAGTCGTAACTCAAATTTGATGACCTAATTCCTAAATCATCATTCATATTATAGTAGACGAATAATACTACACCTATTTTTTAATAAAATGACAAATAAACCCTCAAAAGACTGCGAATACCCTCAATACTTTAAAAAAAAAAAAACTACAGTTCAATCCTAGTTTTTATCGGATACCCGAACCCGATTCCGGTTCCATAGTAGATATTAGAGTCAGAGAGCCAGAATCTGAACCCGAATACCCACCACCCTAAATTCGGGCACACCCCTAATTTTGGAGGGGCCATCTGTCTGATTCTAATAAAGAAAGCTGGGTAGGTAAGTGTTTTTTGCCTATTACTATCAAGTCAAAACCTTAATTTTGAAAGTAGAGTAAATATGATTGAATGCCATGACTGATTTGATTTCTGAGATCAATTAAGAATATGTTTGTCTAGTATAATTCATAAACAAAAGTTTTAGAACAGAAGTAGTGAAATAATATTTGATATTAATAATTGGGGATTATTCTATTTCAGAATTACAAATTGAGCTTGGAATGATCACTTGAATCAAAATGAAGGATACAAAGGGGAAGGACACCACATAACACTAAGATAACAAAACACCGAAGAACAGCAATCAAATAATTTCATACCCTCGTCGTCATCGAGTCCTAACACCATCATCATAATCGTCGTCGTCCTCGTCGTCGTCATCATCATCATCTTCATCATCATCATCAACAAAATCTCCAATGTCATCATCATCGTACACATCATCATCATCATCATCGACGACGTCGTCGTCGTCGTCCACATCAATCACCACGGGCATCCCACGCGCCGCCACAGTCGGCATTTTTATCTTCTCTGTGCACAAGGCCTGATCTTTCCCCATTACGAAATCAACGAAATTAAACCCATCTCCCAAAACGGGTTTTTGCCCGAATATCTTTTGTTTTGGATTGATTAAAGACTGAAAAAGTTGCTGTTCTTTAATGCAAATGTCAACGCTCGACTGGCCAACAAGTCGGCTACGGAGAAGTTGCGGAAACGACCTACCGTTTTTGAGTAGCATCCTGGCGGCGGGGTTGGCCATTTACGCCGAGTTGATGTTACTTGAGAAGAGTATGTTTTGTGTTTCTTCTGAAGGCGAACAGGGAGGTTTGGGGTTTAATATAGGAAGGGTTTAGGGTTTTAGCCGCAGAGAAAGATGGAAACTCTGAGGACACGTGGCTGCATCAGAAGTCTGTAGATGGTTCTACAGACTCGGCAAGAATGTGCCGTGTAGAGTTCAATGATATAGTTAAAATAATTCATCAAGGGGCCTAACTCTCCTCTTTTAGAAATAGATGGATCCCATTTTCAATTAATGTCAAGTTAAATCCTTCCATTGACCGCGGTTTTTACTTTTAGGGGGTGTTTGGATCATATAATATTCTTTTATCTTAATAATAAGATTACCAGAAAAAAAGATTACATTATAGATTATCGGGTTTAAATTATTATTATTATACTTGGTTCAATTTGGATGTATTAATAATTAATATGTTTGGTTGATAGTAATAACATATATTCTGAAATACCTTTTTACTAGAATGTCTTTTAAATGATTATTAGATATAAATAATTGAGGGCTTGTTTGTTTTATTATTTTAAACCATATTCTCTATCTTATTCCCAAATTACTTATATGATTAATTATTTGAGAAATACTACTCTATTTTTTAATTACTTTTAGACTCCTTAAGTTTATTGACTTAATTAAACACTCTTAGAAAAAAAAAGTTTAAAAATTAACAAAAACAACCCCAATCACCTATAGTTGCCAGATTTCAGCAACCACCGTTAGTGGTGACTAGAATCTGTCACAACGGCCTAAAAATGATCGGAAATGGCCGTTTATTCACTGATCTGGCCTTTTCGGCCAAATCCGTGGTGGATCTAACCAAAAAAGGCCAAATCTGGCCATTAGCAACGGTCAAAGAAATGGTCATCGTTGACGGTCAACAACGGCCAACTCTTGGCCGTCATTGACGATGAACGACAACCAACTCTTTGGCTGTCTCTGACGGCACGATCTGGCCTTTTGCGACCATCGACGGTCAGATCTGGCTGTAGATCTGACTTTTTTCGGTCAGATCTATGGTGGATCTGGTCGAAAAATGCTAGATCGACACACCACTGGCCATATTTGACTCCTCTAAGTCATAAGGGCAAATTCTGATCAGATTCCGACGGTGGTGGCCGGAATCTGGCACTGTGGTGGTGGGGTGTTTTTGTCATTTTATAAATTGAGTGTTTTGTAATTATTAACAAAGCCAATGATATTTTTGTCCATATTGTCCACTATTTTGGGGCAAAATTGGACAGAAATTATGTTTACCCAGGTGATGTTTTAATACCAACCCCCCATCAGGTAATATTATTCTCGGCAATTTATCCCCTTTTGGACACTATTTATCATCTTATTTTTCGAAAATATTTTTGTATAAAAATACCAAACACGGTAACATGCTCAATTAAACAAATATTACTCTTGTTAAAAATTTCAGCCCGATCTAAACAGGCCCTTAATGTTTCTATTTTCAATAAGCATACAAAATACTATGGAGAAAAATAAAAAAGAAACTGTTAAGAAATAGATACTTAATACTTTGGGTCTTAAGTGGAATCTTGGACTTATTTGGGTCATATATTGGAGTCCTGGACTAGCTTCTATAAATGTGATCATGCTGTCCTGTTTTTTCTCCACTCTTTGGAACTGGAATTCCAGAGCAATTTTTAAATCTTCACCAGAATTTGCATATATGTATGATCCATCAAAGTGGTTCGGATAATTATTAGCCCTCTAAAGATCATATGCACGAGGGAACAGGCTGTGAAAGATTAATCCTTTTGAGTATTCCTTTTGAGTTCTGGAACTTGTTGAGGCGGATTTGGTGAGGGCGATCACCTCATTCACTTCTAACCATCCACCTTCATTGAGCAAGACGTTTCGGTGATTGAAAATTTTCATGAACAAGAGGAACCATAAGCCCCAAGCATGATTACTGAAATTAAAGGATGCGCAAAGGGGCTTCTTGCAAGAGTGTTGGAGATCAGGACCATGACGATGTTCAAATCCATTTTCCATATTGAGCTTCCTGAACAAAGTGCAGCCGAGGACAAGTGCAGGGATTCAAAGTAAAGAGGGTCGGATTTTTCCTGTGTACTTGAATGGGTCCAGTTATGTAACCTGCATTTTTCTTTGCTTCGAGTGGAGGAAATTGAAGATTCACAAGGATCTCACAGTCCATATAATCATTTCTTACAATCTGATTGCTTGCGTGGATATCTCTACAGCTGTTTCAGTATCATAAACACCTTCATCAGCAATATCTACTCTCATTTGCGAGGCTGAAGAAAACTTAAATAGTGACACCGTGCCATTGAATTTTATAGCAGACTGTAATGTGAAGCTCAATTTGTAGCTGATATTCTTGAGAAAAGATTTTTCTGCTTTTGAGCTTGATGATGGAATGGAAGGTTGAAACCATGGAGAAATCATCTGATCACTAAGAAAGAGAGGACTTGAACAGCACTCTACAATTTTTCCTGATGAAATTTTGACTGATGCATGGAACAACATTTCTTTAAGAGAGCCATTTGGATAATGCCCTTTTCTTTTCCTAACTTGATGATGCTTCTTTGGGCACAAATTTCATACTTTCGCAATTTCAGTATACATATACTTCAAACCTGGAATTCTCAGATCCTGAGTCTCGGTGCTTTGAAATGCAATCCTATCAAAGTAGCCCGAATCCTATCAAAGCTAAACCTTTTTGAACAACATAAGAATTATCTACATATCTAGTTGTGCTCAAGATTAGGCAGGCAATAGCAATAAGCTGATTAGTCTTCACGTCCCATGACCCTTTGATAACAAATGCTGTGTTGGGATCAAAGGGCTAGTAATCGGCGGTATAGTTAGTATCAGGAAATTCTTTCAGAAATCTCAAGCTTTGTCTGTCCACTGAATATTAAATTATGATAAAAAACATCACTCGGGCAAATATGGAATGCTCTCATGAAATAGACAACAACTCTTTGAAGAATTGCAGACATTGACATATCTCAATTCTTATGCTTTGAATGAATATTCAAGTACAGAGCAAATGCTATTACACAGCTGTAAACTGAGGAATGCATTAATTGGAATACTAATCTCATCAGAAGATCCATCATCGAACTCTTCTATAAGCTTAGTAAACTTGTAATTTATTAGAGGAAAAATGATTAAGTGGTCCAAAATAATTTAAATCATTAGTCGGACTCAAGCTCTCCAAAGTTCCTCTAATCAAACTAGTAATGGTACTTGAATATTTTACAGCATATAGTTTAGGTAAATTACCTTCTTTACAGTGACTAAAACTTGATCCTACCATGCAAATCTTTGAAGAAAATATAGACCGAAATCCCTAAAATCGGGAAACTCTGTGAATTGGGATGACACCTCCTTGACATGTATATTCTGTCACACGTAAAATTCTGTACAGCATTGTATAAACTCAAGGTGCGGAGTTTCAAAACACCCTTAACCTTGAAAACGCCTTCAGATGTTCTTAAGAAATGTCTAGTGCTGAAAAACAGGCCTCAAGAGATATTCAATTAAGTTTTGATTGAAGAATCTATTACCAGTGTAATGACCATGTTGCTGAGTAAATGGGAAGTTGATGTATTCTAAAGCAGCCTCTGTTTCAGGGATGATAGGGACACAGTGATCTCTGTAAGAGACTTGAGGTTCTGCAGATGAAGCGATGATCAATTAGAAGATGGTAAAATGAAGAAAAGACAGGTATATATGAAACCATGGTGGACAACACAACCTATGTGAAGATGTAATCAGGGAAGAATTGAAAGCCATGCTCGTTTCTTCAACTGAAGAAGAAGATTTGGTAGTAATTATTGTATGCCTGGAGAGGTTTTTAAGTCAATCTCCTGGGTTCTCCGACTTCTTCAATAAGTTTCTTGATTCAGAACAAGCCGTTAAATTCAAAATGAGGGAGTTCACTCGGATTTAGCCTAAGGTAGCACTTGGTGAGTCTCTTTCCCTAAAAATAAAATCATCTGAGTCAATATATAGTTTCATCTCTCTCTTCCTCCTGGAAAATTTTCTACTTATAGCCTTATAGGTGGCCTTCAAATATATTAATAGTATAAAAAGTTTACTTAGACTAGGCCAAAGTTATAAGGTGAAACAAGTGGAGTGATATCTTCCTTTTTACTAAAACTGGATAAACTTAGAAGGAAAACATTTAGACTGGCAAATGTTGCATCAAATGGTTCACTGCATAGACATATTTGCTTGTGTTGACTAACTGAAATGGTCATTACATTATCATAGATAAAGAATCAAATATAATTTGATTGATTACTCAGTCAATTGTAATGAAGTAGCAGCATAAAACTTCGATATTCTATGAACAGCCTGAACATCCAATATGTTCTATAAACAGTTTGCAAGAATCAGCAGAACAGGAGAGAGTCATAACTCATAACTCAAATCTGATGACCTTATTCCTAAAACATAATTCATGTTAGTAGACATAATGAAGTCTTGCCGACATTGAGGGAGAAATCACAAATTTGTTGAAGCCTTGCCGGCATTTTCTACTATAAATAAGAGCTCAATCTTGCACTCTCAAGCGAGTGAGCTGAAAAATATTTAGCTTCTAAAGTGTCAGTCTCTGAGTGTCTTGGAGAGATGATAAGAGCTTGAATGTTTATATTTTGATAGTGATTTAATTGGTTTATTTATGGAAAAATGTGTTTAAAGTGTGGAATTTGGATTATTTCTTTCATAAATACCATTTATGGGATCACGGGTGCATATTGAGTGTTTTCATGCTCAAACAGGTTGTTGAGGGAAAAGAATGATGTCGATAGGATTCACGACGTGTAGGAACAAACGGCACAAGAATCGGGGTCGAAATGAAGAAGTTGTGGCACTTCGAAGATGTTACGAAAAATCTGGAAATCTTTCATTATGAGTATGCCTCGATGTTTCTGTCATAACTTGAGCTGTGGAAATCGGAATTCGACGATTCTGGTGGCGTTGGAAAGCTTATTCAGAGAGCTACAATGTTTGTGTTGATGACTTGTTCAAATTCTGAAGATTACGGATGCCTTGGACATAAAGAACGATCGCCGCGGTGACCATTTTTACTGCCGCAGCGATGGGTCACGGGTTTGTGTTAATTTACTGCCCTAATCCGAATCTAAATGGGCTAAGTTTCTAATTTTTTTTCCTAAGCACGACCAAGAACCCCAGGGATATAAAAGAGAGTTTTTAAGAAATTAAAAAGGGACTTTTGGAAGGAGAAGAGGACGGCTACCAAGTTGGAGATCGGGATCCTAAAAGTTCTCGTTCACCGATTAGAGAAGTTTATCTTTTTCTTGAATTGATGTCATTGATTAGAATGATGGATTTTTTTATTTTCATTATGAACTAATTCTCTTTTCTAGGGCTGCAAATGTAGCCCAATTTATGAACATGTGTTGACATTATTATTTTGATTCTATATTGAGTATGATTTCTAAGTTTTATTATCGTGTGTAATGCTTTTAATTCTCAGGGCCTGAGAGTTAAATGATATCATGGATTAGGTTGAAATCGAGAGATGAAACCTGATTTGTCTTAGGTAATAGAACCATAGATTGAGCGAACGCTACAGATAGGTTACCACGATCTGTGAGGCTCCGGTAAATTCCATAGAGCTTAATAATCTCTTAGCTCCTAAATCCAACTTAGAGATATATTGGGTTGTTGCTTAAGGGTTAATTTGTTAATTGCTCGAGAGAGAGTTTGTGGAATAATAGGGAGTTTGGCCTTTAGAATAAGCTTGATTAGGTTAGTAATAATTGTCAATGCATAAGATTAAATTGGTGTGAAATCTATGCCCTAGGTTTAGTCATATTGATCTTTAAATCAAAGCTTTAACAAATTCTGCATTTATTTAGTTTTTAGTTTGTTACATTGTCATTAAAACTTCTATTAAAATTATGTTTTATCAAATAGCAATAGGATATAATAGTTTGGTAATTGGTAGGTAGTTCCCTTGGGATTCGACACTCGTTTACTTGAACTTTACTACTTGCTCGTTTTCATACACTTGCGAATAGCCTGTCAAGAGACTGATACAGAAGATTGATTGTCAATAGAATTGCTCATAGGAAGATTAAGAATATTAAAAAAAAAAAAAAAAAAAAAGGGATAAAAATTAGGCTTTCATGTGGCCTAAAAGAATTAAGAATCAAAGGATAGCATAAAACAAAGTGAAGTGAGGAGAAGCACTCCTGCTGGGTGCCTCCTAATATGAAAGATTGTAGTCATTATTCTACAAATCCAAGAGTGTTTTTTTGGTAAATCTCGATGGCACAAGGAAACGTTATTGAAAATAAACAAATAAAAATACATTTAGAAAGGGGGACGTAATGAGTCTTACCCTAAAGAAACTAAATACACAGATATAAAAAGAAAATGACACGACCCATCCTGACCCTCCCTATCCTATAGGCTCTGAGTGCACCCATGAGACTCAGATGACCGAGACCTGCCATGTGAAAAAACTATAAACATGTAAAACCTGTTTATAAATCAACATAATAAAACATTTCCTCATTTGTTCATCATGAACATACATAAAACTTTCTTAGAAACTAAGGGAAAACAAGTGGTATTAGATTTTTCTATATCTTTTACAATCAATCACACAAGATAAACATGTGAAATAAAACATAATCTGCTGCGGAACAAACGTGACATTTTACACACATGATGCAATGATGACATGTGGGCTCAATGTCCAGAGGAATCACTCCTTGACACAATCTTCCTATGAACGTAGGGGAAAAACATTCTAAAAAGGGGTGAGTTGAAATACTCACTAAGTGGGGGATGGGGTAAAACATTTTTCTGAAAAACTTTTATACAAACAATGATTCTTCATGCTTACTAAAAACACTTTCAAATAAACATGTTTGCAATTTTCTCAAACCCTTACATATGAACTGGATACAACACGCTCAAAACTCTTATCTGAATACTTAAAATATAACTGTAAATGCTCATGCTTCTAAAAATAGTGTTTTCTAAAAATCGTGTTGCAACCATCTATGTCATCACTCAAAGAACACTTATGACCCTGAAAAATAATAACTATGAAAGGTCATGCTGCAAGCATCCGAAACATCACAAACAGTCACATATCTTTGAAAAGAAATAATGCCTTATGAATGTCATGTACATAACAATGACTTCGCACAATTGTGATTTAATGCAATTAATCCATAGTTTTTTGAAACTAACAACTGAATCTGATTCTGATAATCCACAAAAGAGATCATACTGCAAACAATCCACATCGTCCCTCAATGAATTCTTATTGTATTTGGAACAACATTTTTAAAACATACAACCAATGTTTATGCTTGCAAATTATTACTCAAGCATCTCAAAATTTCTCATGTCTTTAAAACAACATTAGTAAAATCATATTTCAAATGTCTAAATCAGTCTTATAAAACTAGTATTAATTATTAATAAACATTTTGATGATATGATCTAAAAACTGATTTATGAAAACTATGCACTGATATCTGATTTTTGAATACAAAAAACCTTATGTTGATAACTAAACTTTAAACTGAATATTGTAGCTTTTACTAGAACGGAAAAACTCAGAGTTGAATACTGCTTAAATATTAAATACTGAAAATTGTTTTTTTGACTCTTAACTGAAAAATGGATTTTGATACTAATATCTGAAAACTCTCACCCCAACTAGTACCCAAGGGTAATTCCATCCAACCTGGCAAGACCTAAAATTGCTCAGGTTGAAACATTAAATCCATCCTACTAGGCAAACTCAAACACTGCTCAAGCCTTTAAACCCAGCGGAATTCGCACGCTCAGGTCCGACACAACCAAATTAAATCCAACTAAGTGGAATCAGACACCGCTTAAGCCTTCGACCCAACGAGACCATGCATCACTCAAGTCGGTACAACCATATCATGTCTAACGATATCTGTCTCGCCCAGGCCTTCGACTCACTTAGGTCGGCACAATCATATCTTGTATAGCAATATCTGCCTCGCTTAGGCCTTCAACCCATTTGGGCTAGCACAATCAAATCCTGTCTACCGATATCTGCCTTACTCGAGTCGGTAAAATCATATCCCGTCTAGCGATATCCGCCTCACTTGATCCTTCAACCCACTCGGGCCGGCAAAATCACATCTTACGCATGCGCAGAGTCATAACATAGTATAGGGGGGATAGGCACTATGCAACATGGTTTGAAAATCACTTTTATCTCTATACTGATCTTAATCATTTTTCTCATAAAACTTATGCTTTTCTTCTTTATAAAAGATATCCTTAAAATCAAAATATTTTATGTAATGTAAATGGGTAAGCATGTAATTTTATAAAACTTATGCTCTTTCTCATAAACATATATCTTCACATGCATGCATCAGTTAACATCCAAACAAAGAAAGTTGTGACCAATCCAATATATCAACCCAACTACCACTTCCCATTACCAAAGTCTGGACCCATTTTTAATCATTCTCCCTCCTTTACTCTTCCATTGGCCGAGCTCAAACAACACCCCATAATGAAATTGTTCCCAAATCTAGCAACCCACATTTCATATAAAATATAAAGCCATTTTCTTTTATATAAAATTGTACCATGCAAAGGAGATGAAACTTATTATTTTAGAGTCAAACAAAAGCTTTTCGCCTTACCATCTCACCAACAAAATTATTTCACAAAACCCATCATGCATAGCACATATAATCATCATATAACATGCATGAAAATGAAGTATTAACCAAAAATTAAAAGAAAAACCACATGACTGCCGACACTACAACTGAAGAAAATCAATTTCACCACTCAACAATTTGGTTTCCCTATTCAAGCAAAAGGATTCTACACATACATCAATACACTCATACAAATTACCCAATATATATACACCCTTATTTGGCCGAAAATCAAAGCCTTCATATCACTCATTTGCATGTTAAATAATTATGTAAAGAAAATAGATAATATTCCCTCTCGGCATCCTGGACGTTTTAACTCTTTGGATTACCCTCGCTCATCCACAAATCTACACCTTCGGATCGGCCCTTGCTTATCCACGATTTGCACCTTGGGATCGACCTGGCTCGATCCATGATTTACACATTCGATTGGCCCTGCTCAATCCCAGGATCTACACCTTCGATTGGCCCTACCCTACCCGTCCCAGATCTACAACTTTGTGGCCCTACCCGACCACAGATTTACACATTCGGATCGACCCTGCTTGATCCTGGATTACACCATCATTGGCCTTGCCGATCCACGATTTACACCTTCGGATCGACCCTACTCGATCCACGAATTTACACCTTTGATCAGCTTGCTCGGTCCATAAAGCTACACTTCAGTCGACAGACCGGTTGAAGGTTCTTACACCTCAAATCGACAAGTCATCGACCCAATCCCACAACGATCCATCCGACCTAACGAGTTGCTATCACTAATCCGCCTAAGTCTGCACTCATTCGATTAAATCTACTCTCTAAGCTAAATACTCTTTAACTTAGAGATGGGGGCTATTGTTAAGGCCAAAAATCGTCTTGGGCTTGACGAGGCCCAATAACGATAAACATGTTACGGCCCAAGACCTCAACCAATCCCGATTGGGCCTACGCTTAAATCACCTTGCCCGCCCCACTCTATGAGTTGGGCTATCCTATAAGTTAAGTTAAACTGGTTTTAGCCCATTAGCCTGCAACAGTCTACAAGGAAATCAGAATCCCATTTTATTTCCTCTTCTACTAAGATTCAAATCTTACTCAACCTATTAAACTTGATATGATAAGTAGAAATCATATCTCTTTTATGATGGAATTATCCCCAAATAGACTGTGTCCCTACATTCCAAATCTTATTTAACTATTAAACTTAATCTGATAAGGTCAAGAAATCATATTTCTTTCTTGATAGGGATTATCTCCCAAAAAGAGGATTCAATGTCCTACTAGATACCAACCTCTTGGGTCACTATAAAAACAACTGGCCCTCTCTTAGGGCATCCCCCACGTCAATCTACACTATTCAAAACCATCTATTTGCTCCTAAAGTTCTTGCTCCTAAGAACCTGACGCCTCTGTCGTAGTCCTAGCCTCCGACAAGACACCTGGTATTCTTCATCCTTAATTCTTATCAATATCTCTTTTAATCTCGCTGACTTGAGCATCGGAGTGCCTACGGCAAACCCCACCCCATTTTTTACAGAAGTTCATGCTTGTCCTTTCATGTGTGTAGTCTAGCGGATTGTTAGGGCCTCACTGATCAGACCCTATTTTCATGATGTAGATTTTTGCATCTACTATTTAATTGTACCATGCAACAAGATAAACTTTTTTTTTAGCCCATAGTCAATCTACACTATTCAAAACTATCTATTTGCTCCTAAAGTTCTTGCTCCTAAGAACTCGACGCCTCCGTCGTAGTCCTAGCCTTCGACAAGACTCCTAGTAATTCTTCATCTCCTTAATTCTTATCAAATAATCTCTTTCAACCTCGCTAACTTGAGCGTCGAAGTGCCTACGACAAACACCACCCCGGCGTTTTACAATAGCTTCACGCTTGCCCTTTCATATGTGCAAGTCTAACGGATTTTCAGTGGCCTCAATCTCACGGGATCAGACCCTATTTTCATGACGGTGGATTTTTTGCATCTATAGTTTGGCGCCCAGCGTAGGGCCCTGACAATCATCTACCAATGATGACTTACAACATGGGAGGTGATACGAAACTCCTTTTGACTAACAGTGTTAATCAGAAAATCTCATCACGATAAGAATTTTTTTTTTCTTTATTTTTCTTCGTTTGTTTTATCTATTCACATGCCATATTATATCTATTTGGCATATCATAATTTATTTTATATTATATCCATTCAGCGGGTAGTATTAGACCTTGAAGCTCATATTATTGTTCTAAATTAATAATAGAATAATAATGTGTCAGAGTTTAAAGTGGTGTTCCTAAACCACTTGATTCATTGACTTTGCTTCAACAATCTCTCTTCTCTAATCCTCTGTTCAAATAAGGCAATAACTTCTGTCTCTAACCTCTCTGCACGCGCCTTTTCACTTCAATCATCAAACCACCAGGTGGTCCGCCAGCATCATTAGAGCTTTGCAATGCATTACCCATCACAAAACCAGTCAATTTGTTCATTCAAGAAGATGCCGCAATACGCTAGCATCTCTAGGACCTCCGCTCCATTAGAAGGTAACTCAAACTCGACCAGCCTTGATCCAATCCCAATTCAACTTCATGGAGATTTGCCACCACTTTGAAACCCAAAACCCGTCCATCTGTTCTCCTAAAATCGCCCTAACAACTTCTCCAATCACATAGTAAAATCCTAAAAACACAGTAGTAATCCTCTCAAAACACCTAAAGTCATCTACTAAACACGAAGAGAAACTCCCCAAACAAAACCTACTTAAGTGACGCCACCCCACTCTCGCCTAATCTCCTTACCCCACCATATTCCAAAACTCTAAACTTGAACCATCGCCCCTTCCCAACTAATACATATCAACTCAAACCACCTTCACATCACAATCTCCATCACACCTGTCACAAAAGCCCTCACGCTCCCCGTTATTTGCAAACTTTCCACTCTTGACTACAACTTAGCACCACTAAACAACACGAGTAGTCCATTTAATGATATTTGGGTTTGCACATACAATATCAACATGCCCATTCGGATCAGCCCAAAAGTGAATCATGTGCCCACTCAACTTCAACTGGTTCAGCTCTGACATAGAAAGTAACACCCCTCTCTCCACTTGGTCCAGCAAGCATGGGTGGCAGCACTTGAAGGGGAAAGGTACGTGTCATTGTCTCCTTTTAACTACCACTCTATTTGGTTAAATCTTTCTCTATTCGGCCCATTACTTAAATACATGCAGTCCATTTTTCCATTTAGCTTACTCTTTATTCAGTCCATAACATATGCACATCGTGCATATTAACTCTTAATTCGACTATTTGCTTAAAACATGCATGTCACTGCTCCAGCTTCAATCGAATGTTTTCAACTACAAAGTCGGTCACGCCGACTGGGCCACATAGCCCTCAAAGGTTTCAACTACAAGTCGATCATGCCGACTCGACTGCAAGCTCCATACAAGCTCCACTTTCCATACACCATCGAATCAGCCCTCCCCGATTCACGGATTTACACCATCGGATCAGCCCTGCCCGATCCATGGATTTACATCTTCGGATCGACTTTGCCCGATCCACAGATTTACACCTTCAGATCGACCCTACTTGATCCATGAATTTACACCTTCGGATTGACCCTGCTCAATCCACGGATCTACACTTTCGGATTGACCCTGCTTGATCCACGGATTTACACCTTCGGATCGACCCTGCTCAATCCACGGATTAACACTTTCGGATTGACCCTGCTCAATCCACGAATCTACACCTTCGGATCGGCCCTGCCCGATCGATGGATTTACACCTTTAGATCGACCCTGCTCAATCCACGGATTTACACCTTCAGATTGACCCTGCTTAATCCACGGATCTAAACCTTCAGATCGGCCCTATCCGATCCACGGATTTATACCTTCGGATTGACCATGCTCAATCTATGAATTTACACCTTCGGATCGACCCTGCTCGATCCACAGATTTACACCTTCGGATTGACCCTGCTCAATCCACGGATCTACACCTTCGGATCGGCCCTGCCTGATCCACGGATTTGCACCTTTGGATCGACCCTGCTCGATCCATGGATTTACACATTCGGATTGGCCCTGCTCAATCCACGGATCTACACCTTCGGATTGGCCCTACCCGATCCACAGATCTACACCTTTGGATTGGCCCTACCCGAGCCACAGATTTACACATTCGGATCGACCCTGCTTGATCCATGGATTTACACCATCGGATTGGCCTTGCCGATCCACGGATTTACACCTTCGGATCGACCCTACTCGATCCACGAATTTACACCTTTGATCAGCTTGCTCGGTCCATAAAGCTACACATTCAGTCGACTAGACCGGTTGAAGGGTTCTTACACCTCAAATCGACAAGTCATCGACCCAATCCACACAACGATCCATCCGACCTAACGAGTTGCTATCACTAATCCGCTCAGTCTGCACTCATTCGATTAAATCTACTCTCTAAGCTAAATACTCTTTAACTTAGAGAGTGGGGGGCTATTGTTAAGGCCAAAAATCGTCTTGGGCTTGACGAGGCCCAATAACGAAATAAACATGTTACGGCCCAAGACCTCAACCTAATCCCGATTGGGCCTACGCTTAAAATCACCTTGCGACCTACCCACTCTATGAGTTGGGCTATCCTATAAGTTAAGTTAAACTGGGTTTTAGCCCATTAGCCTGCAACAGTCTACAGATAGGAAATCAGAATCCCATTTTATTTCCTCTTCTACTAAGATTCAAAATCTTACTCAACCTATTAAACTTGATATGATAAAGTTAAGAAATCATATCTCTTTTATGATAGGGATTATCTCCCAAAATAGGACTTAGTGTCCTACTAAGATTCCAAATCTTATTTAAACTATTAAACTTAATCTGATAAGGTCAAGAAATCATATTTCTTTCTTGATAGGGATTATCTCCCAAAAAAGAGGATTCAATGTCCTACTAGAATTCCAACCTCTTTGGGTCACTATAAAAACAGACGCTTGCCCTCTCATTAGGGGGCAATCTCCCACAGTCAATCTACACTATTCAAAACCATCTATTTGCTCCTAAAGTTCTTGCTCCTAAGAACCTGACGCCTCTGTCGTAGTCCTAGCCTCCGACAAGACACCTGGTAATTCTTCAACTCCTTAATTCTTATCAAATAATCTCTTTTAATCTCGCTGACTTGAGCATCGGAGTGCCTACGGCAAACGCCACCCCAGTGTTTTACAGAAGCTTCATGCTTGTCCTTTCATGTGTGTAGGTCTAGCGGATTGTTAGTGGCCTCACGGGATCAGACCCTATTTTCATGATAGTAGATTTTTTGCATCTACATATTTAATTGTACCATGCAAAGAAGATAAAACTTATTATTTTAGAGTCAAACAAAAGCATTTCGCCTTACCATCTCACCAACAAAATTATTTCACAAAACCCATCATATATTTTACCACCAGCATAGCACATATAATCATCATATAAACATGCATGAAAACGAGGTATCAACCAAAAATTAAAAGAAAAACCACATGACTGCCGACACTACAGCTGAAGAAAATCAATTTCACCACTCAACAATTTGGTTTCCCTATTCAAGCAAAAGGATTCTACACATACATCAATACACTCATACAGATTACCCAATATATATATACACCCTTATTTCGCCGAAAATCTAAGTCTTCATATCACTCATTTGCATGTTAAATAATTATGTGAAGAAAATAGATAATATTCCTCATAAACTAAAATATCATCAAATAAGTCAACCAAGCACAATTCATAATCAACCCATTTCACATGAATTTTTATGCAATACTATTCCACTCACAAGCCCAGCACTTCCTCACGGATTTCCTCCTTCCTTTTCACCAAATCTTACAAAAATTGAGTGATGTCCTTTTCTTCTTCACTTAGTCGGCGCTTATTTCTCTCTCTCTTCCATATTTTGTTTTTTTTCTTTCTTCACTCTTTCACTCTTCTTCTCGGCTGAAACCCGTTTCTCCTTGTCTTCTCCTTTTTCCTTTCTTCCCCACCCCCACCCCCTTCTTCTCTCTTTCCACCACTTATTTTGGAGAACACTGTTCGTCGAAAAAATCTGACAGATTTTACTTTAGTCATCACTTGTTTTAGATATTATCTTTACTCCCAAAAAAATCACAAATAAAATTTAATAGAACAACTTATAAAATATTGGTATTACAGAAAAAGTCTAGAGATTATGTGCCACGAAATTCAAATACAATACAATTAAGAACAACCATAAAGCCTTAAAACTCAAACAAAACCAACAAGAAGCATAATAACAAGAGTCCCAAAAAAAACAAAAAATCTAGGTTGGAGGAGAATTCCATCAGTATCTGTTGCATTGTTCAAATTCAATGAATTCACATGCGAATGTGCTAGATATAAGAGCCAAGCAATCTTCAGGTTCACCTTTCATTGTATACTTGCTAGCAGAGGCCAATTAGAGGAAGTGTAAAACACATTTGAAAGTTCAAATTGACGTAAAAATCTTTCATCTTCTGATTTAGTTCTGAAAACAGAAAAAGAAATTTAAAACACAGAATCATTTTCTGATATTTAAGAGTTTGAGTAAGATTTATACAGCCTAGTTAACAAAAAAGCCTGTAATTGTGGCATGATAGATCCCTTCGAAAGTATTAATAGTCACCATTCTCTGTTTTGAACTTGAAGACATGTGTTATGCCCAAGGAAATAAAGGGCTGACGTAGGAAAGTCACGTGAAGGGCGACCTGCTCCCGTCAGAGCAGCACGCACACGTCAGACCTGCCAAGTGNCATGTCTTTTTGAGGTGTTTGGAGATGGAAATACTATGATGTTATTCAGGAAAAGTATGTCTTTAAACAGGTTTCGCAGTTTTTCTACATGGCACGTCTCGGATAGCCGAGTCTTGTGGGAGCGCCCGGATCCTACGGGATGAGGAAATTCAGGACGGGTTGTGTCAATTATTTTTAAAAGTATTGGAAGAAAAAGGGTATAATAGTCAGCTCAGTTGTAATTTATATAGTTAACATTTTTAGCTTTGTTAGTTAGTGGACTCCAGCTCGATAGACTAACTAGTGTTACTGTGTTGTCTATAAAGAAACAGTTTATTCAATAAAAATCAGAGTTCATTTTCCCGAAATTACTATTTAAATCAGCAGTTTGTACAGCGATTGTTTTGCAGTTATTTAATGTAATCTTATCTCTTTATGAATCAATAAAAAGGGATTGAATATGAAGTTGTATTATGGAACATGTATGAGTTTTTTATGAGTGAAAATTATCTTATCTCATGCATTTGTTCATCTTTATGAAATTGGAAGCCTGAGACTTGATTTGTTTGGCTTCCAATTTCCAACAAAGCATCTGTTTAAGCCTGAGTTAAAAATAAAATTCTTATCATACAAACACATTACTATCTCAAAGAAGAATGTAACGAGTAATGCAAGTAGATCATAAAAGTAACAAAAGGCACAATTTGGATGGCAAGTACATAGTATGGAAAATTAAACACAAAATTTAGGATTAATTATGCTTCAAATTGTTCCTGCAACGTCTAGCCACTTTGTGTCCTAAATATGATAATCTGTCGGCAGTTTTATGAACATAACCCATGTAGGCATCCCACCAGGGCCTTCTGATTGCGATAACTGTGTAAGGAACAGAGATTCCTGCAACAAATCCCAAAACAATGTTCAAGTAAAGAATCCATGTATCAGTAGAGCTGTTGCTGCTGTCAATATCAATCTTCTTATCTTTATCAGAATCATCAACTTGACAATTTACTATAAGTGGAGCTCCACAAAGGCCTGAGTTTCAGCCAAAACTAGATGCATCAAAAGTCGTCAAATGCCCTAAGTAAGGGATCCTGCCAGATAACTTATCATTTTATAAGTTCAAATTACCCAAGAAATCTAAAGAAGACATGCCTGCAGGAATTAGACCTGAAAAACCATTGTCAGACAGATCAAGGGATGACAAGTGCTGCAACTGCGAGATGCTTGGAGGAATTTGGCCACTGATATGGTTTCCTGACAGGTTTAACAACTACCAAACCCACCAACTTTGAAATTTCTTCAGGAAGTTCTCCAGAGAAGTTGTTTCCGGAAAGGTATATACTTGTCATAAGAGAAAGAGTCTTTGTGAACTTTTGAGACTGGTTTTTTTTATTTACAACATAGCTTTCTTCATAATAGTGCTCAATGCTGCTCCCATAAAACAGATACATGTTTTTCTTTTGCACTAGAGTCATGGAGAAAAACTCCCCAAATGTAGTAGGAATACTACCATTAAAGTCATTTTCCGCCAGGTCCAAGACCTGAAGTGAACTCAGTTTTGAAAGAGAGAAGGTAAGTTCTCCAGAAAAAACTATTTGACCTCAAGCGCAGTATCCTAAGATGTGCAAACCCATCGCCAAACCATGGAGGAAGTTTACCCGTCAGACAGTTGTTTCCAAGATCCAAAGTTTCCAACGACTGCAAAACCTGGAAAGATAATGGAATTTATCCCGCGATCTTGTTGTTGCTTAGGTGCAGTGACCGAAGATTATACAAGTAGCCCAAAGAACTTTTGGAATTTCCCCTGACAGATTATTGTTTTGTCAGTCTAAAACCTGTAGAAAAAAACTGTTCGCTATGCTTGAAGGTATTCTCCCAGTTAAATAGTTCCTTGAAAGATCAATCACACAATTGATGACATCAGTCCAACAGACTCAGGAATTGAACCAGATGGTTGGTTGCCTGAAAGTGAAAGAAAACTCGAAGACCACAAGGATTCACCAATAGTCTCCGGAATAGGACCAGAAAATTCATTGTTTGAAAGAGCTAGTACATCAAGATCGAAACTCGGCACAGGAATAGATCCTTTCAAGATGTTGGAGCTCAAATGAATCTGAGCATTAGTGCTTACATTTAGCGGATTTGGTAGTTGACCTTTCAAGAGAGGTTGAAATGATACATACTGCCAGAGAGGTTGCAAAACCAGTTGGGTATAGGATCCAATATACTAGCTTTTGAGAAATCAAGATACTTGAGCCCTCTTTGAGATTTAAGCCAATATGGAAATGATGGACCCAAACGACAGGAACCCTGGGAAAGAAACTCAATGACACGACCCGCCTCGACCCTCCCTACCCCATAAGCTCCGGGCGCACCTATGAGACTCGGGCGGCCGAGACGTGCCGTGTGGGAATCTAAAAACCTGTATTCTAAATACGTTTTTCATAAAAAAAAAAAACATTCGCTTGGATTCGTTTTGGAAGCATAAACACATAAGATATATATACGTATACATTTGAAAATCTGAAAGCTAACTTGTACGTTCATAAAATCCAAAAAAAAACGGATGGTATCAGATATTCATAACTTTTATAATCAACACAGGAGATAGACATAAGGATAAAACATAATTCGGTAGCGGTAACAAGCATGACATTTTTACACACATGATGAGTCGATGACGTAAGGGCCCAACCTCGAGAGGAATTACTCCTCAGCACAACTCTTCCTGTGAACCTGGGAAAAAGGGTCTAAAAAGGGGTGAGCTGAAATACTCAGTGAGTGGGGGATTGGGGAGAGTTTGCAAAACATTCTTCAACAATAGTCATGGCATGCAATAGTTATTACAAATCTGAAAACAACATGTTCTTGAACGTGGTTGGAAGTAACTAAATCATTCTGTATGCATGTATAACTCGTTTTCTAAATTGTTCTAAGTACTGTAATATCATCATTTAAGCTAAAAACAAATTCTGAATTATAGTCACATGAATGCTTAAAATTCTTTTTCTGGAAAATTAAACAAAACTGTAAGTGCTTATGCTTCTGGGAACAATATTTCCTATAAGTCATGCTGCAACCATCTATGTCATCACTCAATAATGCATATGAGTATGAAAAAATAACTCTACTAGTCATGCTAAAACATCCAAACCATCATTAATGAACACTCATGACTCTCAAAACAAAATCTGGTAACAAATTTATAACTATTGTGATGATAAAAATTGAAGACTGATTTTCTTGAAGCTATGCACTGATAACTGATTTTGGAATACTGTAAACTTTATGCTGATAACTGAAATTTAAACTGGATACTGTAGCTTTTACTGATACTGAAAACTATAAGCTAATATCTTATTTTAAAACTGTGGCTATATGAAGGTTCTCTTAACATTCTAAAACTCTATTGAGGCTATCGCTCGTAGCAGATACTAAAAACTGAATGTGATTTTGAACATTCTAAAACTGATTCTGATGTTATAACAGAAAACTCTCACCGCAACTAGTACCTCGGGGAAATCTGTCTTACCTGGTGGGCGTCTCACACACAGGCAGAGCAAGGGATGTACCTGTCATACCGGCAAGATCTGTCATCGCGCGGGCAGAGCCACTGAAACTGTCATACCTGGCGGACCACTCAATGCCAGGCAGAGCCATAAAATCTGTCATACCGGCAAGATCTATCATCGCACGGGCAGAGCCACTGAAACTGTCTTACCTGGCGGACCAACTCAAGCCCAGGCACAGACCAATAAAATCTATCATACGCATGCACAGAGCAAAAATTGAAACTGTCATACCCGGCGAATCCTGCATTGCTCGGGCAGAGCCATAATCTGTATCTCTGGGGGATGGGTACTCGTTGGGTGGTTTGAAAACCACTTTTACTCTTATATATAGTCAACATGCTTTTCTTCATGAAAAATGCATAGTTTGCTTGAAAAATATGATATTTATGCCAAGGGGGGAAAATTTAGATTATGAACATGCCCCAAAACTGACAAATAACCCTTTTTCGTTTCTCATTTAGTATATTATCAAAATCACTAAACTCCATTTAATCATGCATCTCATGTTAATCTCAAGTAACATTATAAGTCAAGAACTACCACATATGTGCTTATAAATATGCATATATGACATAATATAAAAATCACATCCAGGGGTGAAACTGAAAATTTCCAACATGTTTTAAAACTGACAGTTTAACCCAGATAAAAATTACTTTCAACATCACATTCATACATATGTCCATCACTAATCAAGATATATACCACATTTCATATAAAAGTAAATCATGCCAAACGTATGAAATTCCATGCAAAATGGGGGTAGAATGCAAGTTTTAAAACATACTTTCAAACTGACAGAATGCACCCCTTCTCTTTTTCTTTCCAAGAAACCATCTACCAAGATCACGAACCTCAACCCGTATACAATTCAACCAATTCTCTACTCTCAAAATTTTATTCATATAGCGTGATACATATAAATTCTATATACCAAACTTCATCAAACATTTAAAATAAAATCATAAGTTAACATGCAAACGTGGATTTAAGCTTTTGGAAGAAGATTTGGTTTAATCCACTCACCAAATCAAGCTATAATTCAATGGGGCATTCAAGACAAATATATGTTGATCCAGTAATATTTTCAAGTCACTTCAGAATCAATAACTATTTAAAAACAATTTTCTTTCAAACTCATTTAAATTCGCAATGTTTCCAGATATGAGGTTACTAACTTGTAAAATTCATAACAATTCAGCCCCTAATCTAAACCTCATGAAACTCTCCAGAATAAAAATAGACACATATAGGATACGAATTTAAAACACTCAATTTGGATAAGTATAAGTGATTATTTCAGTGTCTGAAAAATGCATGCTCTACAGAAAACATGAAATTCCAGAATTCATAGCAGAATTCAAAATTCATTAAAAAATCCAATACTTCGATTTTGGGGTGAAATCAATTTTCAACCAATCTTAATAAGCCTAAAACAAATATCGAGAATTTAGCTTCATTTACAAACCCGAAACATATATAAAATTTTCAGAAGTTTAGGCTGTCAGAATTTCACAGCATAACTTTTATAACCAAAAACATACTTTAATAACTCTTGGTTCTTTAGAATCAACATATATGCTCTACCCATATAAACTATGCATTAAATCTCCAATTTCAGTTAACCACAATAGTCAGCCACCATATCCAACATATAATTTCCCATAATTTTGTTCTATCACAAACATTGTGAATATGCATAAAAATGCACATATGCTTGTCAAAATTAATCAATATATGAAATCCATAATTTCCATACCCTTCATTCCAACCATTACTGCCACCAATTAATTTCCAAACAAACCAGCCCTACCAAAATTAGCTGGAATTCTCAATCATCAACCAAATCAAACAGGCGGAAATACAAATTCTCTTTCCATTCAACAACATTGGTATAGGCATAATTATTATACATGCATGTCCACACTTACTTCCAAATTTCATTATATATATAAAATCATTCATGCATGCCAAAGATAGTTTACAGAAGATGAATATAACCATATCAAAGCTTAAATAAATTTGAAGGTAAGGAATTATGCACAAAATAGAAATCATTATAAAAACATGATTTTATGCAAAGTTCTACTATTCCCCTTACAAACATCATGCTTGTAAGGATTTTCGCAAAAGCAAATGGACGGTAGTAAAAGGAAATCAACATGCAAGGGCATAAGCTTAAGTTTTTAAGGAAAACAGTTTAGATCCACTCACTATTCTAACAACCGAAGCTCCTGCACTCTCCTCCACTCTTCTCTCTCACTCTACCATTTTCAGCTGCACCCATTCCCTTCTCTTCTCGTTTTCTTCTTTTCTCATGGGCGGAAAATCAGCCTCCCCTTTTTTAACTTTTCTTTTTTGCTCTGCTCTCGCTTTCTCCCTCTGCTCTCGTCTCCTTCTTCTTCATTTGGGCCAAAATAACCCCTTTCTTTCTTTTTTTATATTTTAATCTTTCTAAATTTATGCTTCTGCCCCTAGATTACAGGTAATCCGCTAAACCCTAACCACATCAGCTTTTCTTTCAAAAAACCTCCAGATTTTGCCCTTATTACATGCAAACCCAGCAGCTTCCTTTTCTTGCAAATTTCATTCCCAATAAAACTTTAAAAACTAACAGAAATCCCTTCCATAAAAATAAATCACACAAAATATGTAATATGTATAGGATTAAAAACGGGGTTTCACACTCAAACTGGAATGGAGGTACCCAATGGGACTGACATTCAAAATGAAAGAGTTGGAAGACAATCCAAACTTAGGGTTTACTGAGCTTCGAAAAATGCACTTCGGTAATAATACCAGTCAAATTGTTGGAAGAAATGTCTATATATAACAACTCGGAGAGCTTCCCTAGAGAATCTGGGAGAGAACCATTTAGTCTATTCCCATGAAGCGTCAGTTCAGACAGATGTAACAGTGTACACAAAGAAGCAGGGATGGGACCGTGAAGCAAATTATTTCGTAGGTCGAGTGTGACAAGACTACGAAGCTGACTCAACCAATGTGGCAATTCGCCTACTATTGTATTATTTTGCAATTTCAATTACCTCAAACTAGGCAAAGGACTGTTGGCTCCACAGTTATCAGCTACTTCAAGGAATCTAGGTAGAATTTTGGTTAGGTTATTGGCAGCCAACTCTAAATATATCAAGTTGCAAAGCTTACCAGTGGAGCTAGGGAGACCGCCCCTCAACACCGCTGCCGAATAAATCAAGAAAGCGGAGAGATGTCATATTCTCCATAGTGGCAGGAAGTTGTCCATGCAATTGGATGAAATCCAATTTGTTGTAAAATCAAGTCTAGCTAACCAAGATCAAGATTATAAACAACCAAATAAAGATCAAACGAAAAACAAGAAAAAGAAGAACACGCGATCTTTTACCATGATTAACTTGTTCAAGATTGAACAAGCTACGTCCACGTTGAGCTCCAGAATATAGAGGCTTGCTGCACTATTATTACACTCACCAACGATTACAGATTACACAATCACACTTCCCTTCTAATCCTTACTTACAAGAACCACAATAGCTTCACTCCTATAGCGGTAAATCAATAATCCTAAAAAAAATTCTAACCTAATTCTCTACCCACTAAGAAACGCAACTCAGATGGGTGGATTAAACCACAGATTTACATAACAGCAAAAACACTCTACAAAAAAACCTAACAGAGCTTTTAGAGACTTCTATCGAGCGAGAGAGAGTGCAAAAATTGGGAAAATCTTCTGCTTTTATATGGTTGACCAACATGTGAGTTTCAGCCGTTGGATTGCTTGGAGATCAATGGCCAGAATTGCAGGATATATTAAAACTAAAACGGCAGCGTATAAGGCTTCATTAAATAACAATCTCCATCTTGAAGCCTTATTCTTTTCCAGGTAGCAACAAAATTTATGCAACAAGCTTCTCACATACTCCTTCTTAGCTCTATACACAATCAGTTGATGTGCAGTAGGTTCAAGCAATGATTGAACTTTGCAAGAGTTATCACTTTTGTTCCCATATCAACTGGGTTATCTTCAATTGGTATTTTCAACAGATTCAGGTTCCCTTTTGTGATTTGATCTCAGACAAAATGATACTTCACATCCACGTGCTTCATCCTCTCATCATGTACAGGGTTTTACTTAGATGAATGGCACTTTGACTGTCATAGTACATAGTCACAAGTCCGTCCATCAAACTTGCTTCTTTCAAGATCCCTTGGAACCATATTGCCTCCTTGAATGCATCAGTCACTACCACGTACTTAGCTTCTGTTGTGGACAGTGCAACCAATGGCTGTAGTTGTGATTTCCAACTGATGCAGTTTCCACCTAAGGTGAAGCAATAGGCAGCAGTGGACTTCCTTGAGTCTTGATCACCTGGAAAATCAGAGTCTACATACTCAACAAGATCAAATGTAGAGTTTCTTTTGCAAAAGTCTAATCCAACATGCATTGTGCTATTAATGTATCTAAGCAGCCATTTTAATGCAACCCAATGTTCTATTCCTAGATTTGACATGAGCCTACTCAGTAATGATATTGCAAATGAAAGATCAGGTCTTGTGCTTATCATGGAGTACATGATAGATCCTATGGCACTTGAGTAGGGAATATTTTCCATTTTCAGCCTTTCAGCATCAGTTTTGGGGCACTGTAATTTACGCAATGTAAAGTGACCTGCTAAGGGTATGTTGACAGGTTTAGATTCAGTCATTCCAAACCTAGAAGTTAGTTTTTGCAGGTATGGTAGTTGGTGAAGTCTTAGCCTATTTAATTTTCTGTTTTTATGAATTATCATCCCCAAAATCCTTTTTGCACACCCTAAGTCTTTCATATCAAACTCAACACTTAGTTTTGCTTTTAGTTCATCTATGTGTGACTTCGATTTGCATATTAGTAGCATGTCATCTACGTACAGCAATAGGTATATAGGCATTTTATTTATGCACGCAAAATAGAAACAGTTATCATATTTGCTTCTAGTAAACCCAACTCCTACTGTGAATGAGTCAAATTTCTTATACCACTACCTAGGGGATTGTTTAAGGCCATAAAGAGACTTATGCAACAGGCAAACATGTTCAGGTAGGTTTCTATCCTTAAACCCAATAGGTTGGCACATATATATA